TTCGTCGCTTGCATCGACAGTTCGGACATCCCGCACCGTCAACTTTGAAGAATATCTTAAAGGCAGGTAAGGCAAGCAAGGAGTTGATCGAAGCTGCACGTCTCGTCCGTTGTCAGTCCTGCGAAGACACTGCACCACGTCCCCGTGATCATCCGGTAGGAAATAGTAATTTCCAGTATGAGTTCAATGCCATGCTTGGTCTTGATGTCACAGAAATGAAGGACTATGCAGGAAGCAAGTACAGCATTCTCACGATGCTAGACATTTCGACAGGATTCCATTTGTCAGAGGTTGTCAAAGAAGGTGGAGGTATGCCAACGTCAGAAGCCTGTGCACAAGCTATCCTTCGCAGATGGATCAGTTGGGCAGGTTTTCCGAAGGCCGCAATCATGGATAGAGGTGTCCACAACCGAGGTGAGGTATCCAAGCTGTTCGCTTCGCACGGTGTTGAGATCTTCTATGCACCATTGGAAACCCCTTCAGCCATTGGCAAGGTTGAAAGGCACCAAGGTATCTTGAAGGCAATTCTCAGGAAGACCATCCATGACATGGAAGCCGTTGGTCGCAATGCGTTTGAAACATGTTTGCACGAGTGCACTTCCGTGAAGAATCACATGCAAAGAGTCCAAGGCTATTCTCCAGCACAATGGGTCCTGGGAAGGAACCCAAGAATTCCAGGATCTGTGACAGATATGGATGAGGCAGGAAACTTGGGCATCTTGGAGAACAAGCTTGACCCTGCAGCAAGCTATCATTTGTGTCATGCATCCCGTATGGCTGCACAAAAGGCATTCATCCATCTGGATACAAGTTCCCGTGTTGCAAGAGCATTGACCAGGAATGCCGCAGTCCAGAACAAGAAGTCATTTGTGGTTGGAGACCTTGTGGTCTACCGTCGAGACACCCAGCAAGGTGGAACCGTGTGGTCCACTGCTTCGCGTGTGATTGGCATCGACCCGCATAATGGCATCTGGTTGCTACATGAAGGTATTCCTATTTTGTGTGCTGCCGGAAAACTTAGATCAGCCAATGAGAGTGAATCTTTGGCCTACTCTATTTTAAACAATATCCCAGTCTTCCCGGAGGCAGTGACATTGGGACAGCAGAAGTACATCCGAATGATGGACGAAGAAGCAAGCCCTAAGAAGGGACAAAAGAGAGAAGCACAAGCAGAAGATAAGACGGGCAAGGCTGCCCGATCATCTGCAAGCGCGAGTGGAAGCGCAGTCGCAGTTCCGATGACCCCCGGAGGCATTGGTGGTGATGATGAGGTCATGCTTGCATTGGTTGACAATGAAGATCATTGGAGAATCTCTGAGAATCATGCAATTCGTGTTCACAACAAGAGGAGATTCCATGACTTTCATCCGCTGCATGACGGAGATGTTCCGGAAGGATTCGGAGGAAGACGCGTAACCAGAAAAGTCTATGAAGACGGAAGTCGAATGACCAGCGAGTCCATGCCGGGCATGGATGATGTTGATTCTCGCGCATGGACAGGTTTCACAATCTTTACACGGGTAAAACACCCGTTGATCGCCATGGCCGCTGCTGACGACACTGAACTCGATGCTGCAGAGTTTCGAGCCTTTGTGGCTCAACGCTTTGGAGAAAACAGTGAGACGCAGGTTGGCAAGGTGGCAAAGACGCTGCAATACGACCGATGCACTCCCGAGATGCAAGCCCGCATCTTGGATGCACGTCGTGCAGGGTGGAGCAAGTATAGGAGCTTCAATGCTGCAATGCCTATACGTGGCAAGGAATTGGAAGAATTACTTCAAGAAGGGCATGTTCCTATTCCTATGCAATGGGTAGATGTGGATAAGCAAGCTCATCTGACAGGTACGCCTGAGCATCGGCCAGAAAACAGATCTCGGCTAGTAGCTTGTGGAAATCACGAACAAGTGAGCCGTGATTCACAGGGTATTCGCTGCGATAGCCCTACCGCTGAGACTGAAGGACACATGTTGATTGCAAGCTTCGCATCAAGCCATCGTGTGACCCTGTATGCGGCAGATGTTTCCTCAGCGTATTTTCAAAGTCAGCCTATGACGAGGTTGCTGTTGCTCAAACAGCCACGTGGAGGAATTCCAAGCCCGGATGTTCCACCGGATGCAATGTTAGTTGCACGCCTTCCGATCTATGGCACGATCGACGCTGGCAGAGGTTTTTACTTGAGGATGAATGGTGAGATCACCAGTGCCGGGTTGAAGTGCAGTCGCATTACACCGGCATTGTACTATTTGCACAATTCCAAGGGAAAGTTGATAGGCATGGTCGCGACACATGTCGACGACTTGTTGTATTGCTACCTTGACGAAGGCAAGAAGACAATTGAAGGTATCCTCAAAAGGTTCACGATTGGCAAGACAGAATCGGGAAGGTTCCGATACTGCGGACGTCAGTTCGTACAGCATGAGGACTACTCCGTAAGCATTTCTACAAGTGAAAACTGCAGAACAGTGAAGCCGATCAAAATCGACAAGCACCGGAAGCTGTCGGAAAAGGTGACAGAGAAGGAGTTGACAAGCCTCAGGAGCGTTGTTGGTAGTTTGGCTTGGGTTGCCCGTTATGGAAGACCAGACCTTTGCTACCGTGTGAATGAGATGCAGCGTGCATGTAGCGCAAAGGCAACAGTGCAAGACTTGAAGAACGCCAACAAGGTTGTTGAATTGGCACTTCAAGGAAGTGACTTGCAGATCACCTTCAAGAGTGATTGGATTGACTGGAGCGATCTGGCAGTTGTGACATTTAGCGACGCAAGTTTCGCAAACGAAGAAGGCTTTAAGAGTCAGCAAGGCCGCATTCACTACATAACGAATGCGAGCAGCCTCAAAGAAGGCAGTCACAGAATGCATCTGATCAGCTTTGGTTCAACTACCCTCAAAAGGGTGTGTCGTGCTACATTGCAAGCAGAAGCATATGCTCTGCAAACTGCAGTCGAACATGGAGATCGCCTACGATGCCTGATTTGTGAGTTGACCGGACGACTTGATGACTTCAAGAACTGGCATGAAGAAACTCAGAGACGAATGGCACACGTGTACTACACGGATTGCAGGAGCTTATCGGACCATTTACTGGCGGAGGTTCCGAGAAAGGTACAAGACAAGAGGCTTGGCATAGAACTTGCCGCATTGAGGCAAGGAGTGTGGACTGTGAGTGGCGAGAAAACATCAGAGATCTACAGTCCCTATGGTGACCACCTGAGGTGGATTGAGACATCGAAGCAATTGGCAGACCCGCTAACCAAGAGCATGAAGCCGGACTACCTCCTCAAGACACTGGAAAGTGGCCTTGTGAATGTCGAGAACAGTGGCACATGCGAGAAGGGAGCCAAGAAGAAAGATGAAGAAGTCTCACCTGACTTGTTTTGAGAATTCGACATGGAATGGCATGGTTTACGGCCCCACGGGGAATAGAGTTGCTTGGCTGCCTTTGTACAACTTGAACTGTAAAGCCCGCAACACACCTGTAGATAAGACGGGTGTGAATTTCAGCTGTTGTAGCCAGGGTGTATTGCGTACAGTTGATGCACCGTCGCTGCTGTTTCGGCTGAACAGGGCCCTTGAGCTGATTCGCTGCTGCGAAAAGGAACTGTGCGAGATTCAAACAAGTTATATGATTTATATAATCAATTTGTTTTGACACTAGATTGTTTTTTTTGTGAGATTCGTGTATTTCTACTTATTGAACTGTTCACCGGCAAGACCAATGGGGGCATGTGAACGTCAGGTGCAAGGAGACCTCAGGCTTCAGATGTTGACAGAACGTGTTTTTCTGGCACACCTTTCGGGGTTTCCACACTGCTCGCTCTGGGAAAACCCTTGAGGTCCGGATGCCCCAGTGAGAGACAGAAGCAGCAGCCCAGCTGAGAGTTTAGTGGCGTAGCCCCACAAATAAATAAATGTCAGTTCATCTCCTCTCCTATGCAAAGAGGTGTGGACGTTTGAGGCTTTGCAGGCCCAGAAAAGATGTGATTGCTTCGTGAGGCCATCGGCACCTGGGTGGATACCTGCAGCACTAAGTTTATCTAAGTTTGCTCACAAGCTGAGCCCGACATCACATGGTGCGCGATTTGAGGATCGGTCAACACCAAAAATCTGTAGGAATCGATCACTCCCCGGTGATTCATCCAACTTACACCTTTTTAAGGAAGTAGATGATGAGAGGGGCAAACGGTTATTATAGGTACTTCATGATGGTACTTCAATACTTGTCAAGACGTGCGACACTCTCCCTCTCTCTCTCTCACTCAGGAACGACCGAGCTGAGTTACGAGGATGGCATGTCTGAAGCACAGCTCCGAGATGAACTCGAGGCCGCCCAGTTGTCCTGCTTAGAGTCCGGAGAGTTGCCTCCACTGAGTGCAACTGAAAGTATGACCTGGATTTGGGTTTTGGCCAAGAAGTAGATGGAGACGATGTTTTTTGACTGATCGACCTGACGGAGCCAAACACGATGGCCTGGCACAGCTGGAACGCGCTCCATTTCGCTGCGCCAAATGGGGAAGAGACCACCAAAGGCGGCTTCCCGGAAGAATGAACATCCGAGAGATGAGAAATGTGTCTCAAAGTGCCGGGTCTAGCAGACATGAAGAGTAGGACCGCAAATCGCAATACAGTAGATTATTCAATAGATACTGTGGAGGAGTATTGTCTCGTGGATGCCAGCCCTTGCCACGAATTGTCGATCTTTGTTGGGAGTGCTGTTGTGGGTCATTGAAGTTACGTAGTTGCGACACATGCGCTGCGCCGTTGCACGTGCCTCTAGGCAACGAGGAGGCTCCAATGGCCAAGGGAAATCATGGTAACAATTGGTAAACACACACACAAGATCAAGCAACCACTAATTCACAATACCCAAGATTCAGAAGGATTCTAACAGCCTAGCAGAGCCAAAGACGTACAATATCACCTTCATGTTGCAGTATTGTCATTATTGTTCCAATAGGTGCATTCCAGCTGTTTGGTCATTTCATCTATGTCACCATTCTGTGACATCGACTCGGTTTGCTTGGGCCATAACCCAGTGCAGCCCATTCATAGCCCTGTGCGATGCCGTCAGTGGCGGTGGCCTCACGGTTACTTCACTGGTGGAAGGGGAGCACTGAGGCACGGGTACATCACAATGTTGCTATGTTTGCAAGATTTGCCAATGTAGCAGTTTCATCAAGAGAGGGCGATCTATTGAAAGATATTGAAACATTGAGCTCCTTGGCCCTTGTTGAAGAAAGGCTCCGTAGACAGCTCTGAAATAGCTAGCTGCCAAGACCCAGATCACTCCAAGAGCTTGTTTGGAAGGGGCAAGAGCCGCAGCCAGACCGCCCCGCTCGAACTGAACCTCAGCGGCAGTGGAGACGGAGCGAAAGGAGAGCAGAGGCGAACAGGAGGTGCTTGACAGATCTGCATGTGAGGGCAACCCCCCGAGATGATTTACAGGTCCGCAACACACAGCAATAGCACCATACTTTCAATGTTTGGACATAACTGACACAACCCTTTGTTAGTGGGTGCTCTTGATTTGGTTTCCAGAGAAACACTCATTGGCTCATGCTCAGTGGCCCTATTTTTGCTCCTCTCACAGACTCTTCGCATCTCGTCGATGAAGACAGCAAGGACGGGGTGACAGCCTTACACATCGCTGCAGAGAATGGACATACGGAAGTGCTCAAATGCCTGCTGAAGGCCCCTGTGTGCTGGACATGGGCAAGAGCTGTTGTGGATTTGGACCAGCTGGGGTGACAGCAATGCACAAAAGCATAGCAAGCCACAGAAGTGTTTGGAAGAAGTGCAGGCCGCAGGGCCCCCTTTTGAGTAGTACTTCAGCAGGCAATATTGGCGGGCAGGGTAGTGACCCACCTTGGATGTAGATAATCAGATACATCATGCCGTGGGTATTGTATGAATATGTATGAATGTTGTGACCCTGGATTGAACTTGAAGGGAGTCTATTCGTCCGAAGGATTCAGAATCATGAATGGAGAGGAGGGCCGAGATGTAAAAGATTATCATGCATGAGTACAAACACGGATCCATTCCAGACGGAGAGCGAAAATGCATCATGTCGGGTTTGATCCAGGAGCGGGCATGCCCCCACAATGTCACGCACAAGGGACAGAGTGCACTACTGATGGCAGCCCAGCAGGCAGGCTTTTGGCGTGCGGCCCTTTGCAAGATTTTGCAAGTGCAACACTTGTTTCCGACCCTATCACATGTTTGCCTCTTCAGGTTCAACGTACTCCGCTTCACACTGTCAACTAACTCGACAAATGAAGTGCTGCAGCACAACCAACTCCAAGTGCCCTTCATTTTGCCCTTTGATTTTGAAAGCCTCTTCACAGTAGGGCCGCTTGTCAATTATATGTGACTTTCATGTTTATGAAGGATATTAAAGGCTCCTCATGGCCTCACGGGGCCTTATACATGCTCTTCATGGTTTTCATGTAACCCCCTCATTGGAAGTACTGCGCAGACCATCTTGGCAGGGCCACCATGACACAGTAGCAGCGCTTCTAACCGCTGGAGCTGATGTTGAGGGTGAGCAGCAAATCTTCGCCTTGCATGTGGCAGTGGACAGGGGCTGCTTGGATAAAGTCGAGTTCCGCAACTGCGCAGGATTCCGCAACTAGGATTCCGCAACTATTTGGTCGGATTCCGCAACTGGGATTCCGAAACTAGGATTCCGCAACTGGGATTCCGCACTAGGGTTCCGCAACTATAATTCCGAAACTAGGATTCCGCAACTGTCAGGATTCCGCAACTAAGATTCTGCAACTGGGATTCCGCAACTGGCGTTCCGCAACTAGGATTCCGCAAAATTGTGGAGTCCCTCACTAGGACTCCGCAACTTTTGTGAATGATGAGGGGGTTGGCGTGATGTCGAGATCACACTATGGGGACAAGGGGGGGTGGGGGGTTTGGGGAGGGGCTAATGACGTTGGTTTGGATGTGCTTCGAAGATGAAGTCACAGGCACACGCTATCGCATGATGTGGAGATCACCAGTTGCAGAATATCAGTTTCAGAATGCCAGTTGCAGAATCTGACTTTCCAGTTTCAGAATCCCAGTTGCAGAATCCAAGTTTCAGAATACCAGTTGTAGAATCTGACTTTCCAGTCTCAGAATACAAGTTTCAGAGTCCCAGTTTCAGAACCCTAGTTTCAGAACCCCAGTTTCAGGATCCTAGTTTCAGAACACCAGTTTCAGAATCCAAGTGTCAGAACCCTAGTTTCAGAACCCCAGTTTCAGAACCCTAGTTTCAGAATCCGACCGATTAGTTTCCGAATCCGGCTCTAACCGGGGCTGCTTAGAAACAAATTCCCATTTCTACGCATCATGGCTACTGTAGTAGTGATCGAAAGCCTCAGCATGTTACATAGCGTTGTCATCCTCCACAGATCGCATAGCATTGGGAGATGCATGGATATACTTTGTGGCAAAAAGGTCTAGTCAGTCTAGTGCATTGGCATCCTTTGGGGTCAGCGATTGCTCGATGCAAGGATACTTGGACGTTGCCCAGTGCTTGCTGAAGGCGAAGGTGAACGTGAATGCCGCCAAGGACGCCAACAAAAAAGAACCGATACTGTATACACATATGTGATCATATGTGCATATATGTATATATAAGTCTATAATATTTTAATTGTTTGATTGCACACTATTTTGTGCCGGTCTGAAGCACGTTGTGATGTTCTGGCTGGGCGACGGATTTGGATACAGTATTTGGACGCAACAAATCTTAAACAGTTCCATGACTCTTCTGTAATACCGTTCTTCTATTTCTATATATTATGTCTTGTTTAATGGAGCTACCTCCAAAGCGCTGTTCCATCTCCGTTTCGGCGCAGGACACCGGTGCCACGGCCTTGTTTGCCTCGGCGTCCAAAGGCTACTTGGCCATTTGTGAAACGCTCCTGGAGCACCGCGCTGCAGCGGATTTGGCCGAGACGCATGGGGCTACACCTTTGCACCGTGGCGAATTGTAATGGACAATTCAAAGATTTCTCAAGTGAAAGGAATAACTATAACTATCCAGGAATACCGCTATTAGGTTGCAGGCCATTGCTAGTAATTAGCTTGGAGGCCATGCAATTGCAAGCAACCATGGAGGTGGTGCGCCTTGCAGAACTGTTTATCACTCGCCGATCCTAGACTAATTCTATTGGCCGCGAGTGCTCTGAGGGTCCCACCAATGATAGCATCCAGGACCGGACTGAAGACCAAAAGCCGGAAGCATGCAATGTTGGATATTTGACAGAGGTTTGAAGAAGCATGGAAGTACAGTAACTGGAAGCAGTGAGAAGAAAGATTATATAAGAACGTGGTGGAGTTTGCGTCAGCCTCTCAAACTCGATTCCGAACGAGGGAGGCCCCATGAGGCCACCACAATCTGCGCTTTAGAAGATCTCCATCAATTGGAGTGCCGAACAGGTTTGGTAGCAAATTGTTGCAACCAATTTGCCAGTGCAGGTACATTTCGGCACAGATGGGACACCTTGATGTGGTCCAGTGTTTGATTCAAGCAAGGGCCAGCATTGACAAAGCCAGGAGTCATGATGCGACTTGTCCGCACTGTGTCAGATTAACCAGCACTCTCATGCAGCAAACCGAGCCATCAAGCTTCAACTGTGGTATCAAATCACATGATGTACTATGCTGAACTGTGGTTAATGTTGGGCAGCCAGATTCGGCAGAGGGGTGTTCTTGACATTTCTTGCGGGTGATTGTCATGTGTCACGCCCATGCGACATGATCCAAGCATTCACAATCTATGACGATTATATATAAATGGTTGCAGATTTGCCCGCAAGATCTTGCAAGCGGGGGTAAGTGTGAGATGTTGTGACTGTTTGCAGTGATTGATTTGTTTCGTGCCAAGTGGTGGGAGCCCTGACCTTGTGGGATGACCGGACAACAGCACTCACTTGGCCTGAAAAAGCATGTTTAGGCTCGCTCGACTCACAGGTGACACCCTTGTACATCGCGGCGCAGAGTGGGCATGCAGAGGTGGTGGTGACCTTGTTGATGGGAAAGGCAGCCTTGAATCACACCACTGACGTTGGGACGTCACCCTTGTACATTGCAGCGCAAGAGAATCATGTGGAAGCAGTGTGTCCCTTGGCTTCCATATGTTTCAGTTGCTTCCTGTTTGTTGACAACAACGGGGGAGAGTCTTACATGCCAGCACTGGCGTTTCTACCTTATTTGCATCTCATCCCAGAAGAAGGTCACAGTGACCCACGGCCCCTGGAGCCCCGAGTGGAGCCGCCCTTGATGAGGTCACCTCCTCGAGGCCCAAGCAGATGCAGATCTGTGTGAGGCGGGCGGCGCAAGCGCTTTGCACATTGCAGCTCAGAATGGGCATTTGGATACTTGGTGGGCCAGGAGTGGTAAGACTATGTAAAGCTGGGTTGATTTGGAAAGTGAGATGAGTGCTACCTAAGGGAAATTGTCCGTACAGTGCAGCTTTGAAAGGCTGAGTTTGGCAAGTGCCGTTTGGATGCACTTGCCAAGTAAGTAAATATATATATATATACTGTAGTTGGCTCCGCATGAGCCAAACAGCAAAACTAAAAGGTCACGGTGTATCTCACGGTGTATCCATAATTATGCATATATAGACATGTGACACATGATTTGAGACAACGACGGGATTCGGCCAGTGCTTATCACATGAGCTGCTTAGTTGCGTCCCCTGCTGTGCGACCAAGGATGTCCTGCATTTCCTCCTGAAAGCATCAGCCCAGATCGACAAAAGGGACAAGCAGGGGGTAACACCCTTGTATAGTGCTGCTTGGCCTGAGCAAAGCCTTCAGGTACGTATGACAGACAGCAGTCAACAATATACATAGAGTTATTCGTAAAGCCGCTTGTTTGGAGAATTTGTCAAAGCTTGATGGGTTTTTTTGCGTAGGGCTGAAATTGTCAGTGTGATAGTGAATGATGAGGCCAATAGCTATGCTGCACTTGATTCATGATTGTTTTGGATCAGCTTAAAGTGCCTTTTCCTTTTACACACAGAGGTGCAGAACCTCCAACCTCCAAAACATGAACAGATTCACAGCTCAACCGGTTCTGAGGGGGTGAAGGGGAGTGCGTTTGTCTGCTCAGGCAGCTGAGCATGGCCACTTGGGGATCGTACGGTTCTTGGTGGAAGCGGCCGCAGGCTTGGGTGAGGCTACCCCGCAAGGGGCGACTCCGTTGCTGGTGGCGGCACGAAGGGGGCACCGAGACATTTGTGCACCTCGGAGAGGGGATTTGGGGAGACCCATTTTGAGCCATGCGGCCAAGCATTGAAGATGGTTTGTTTGTGGGTAATTAGTCTACCCAATATCCATTCGAGAAAATAACAGGACGTTTGCACCGAGTGGCTTGCGGGTGCAATCATCCACTTTGCGATTCACGTTGGAAGCACACAGCTGAACACCCTTTCAAAGCGACTCCTCAGGCTAATTGAGGAATCCTTTCCTATCTCATCCTTGAACTCTCGTACGAGCAATATGACATTCTGACAAGCATGGAATTTACAAACTACTTTTATTTTGACGTGTGCCTAATGCGCATGATGTTTGCACCTTTCTAAGGCATACTTACTTGTCGCGAGGGCCAACTTCGAGAAATCCCGGGAGGATGGTGCAACCCCATTGAGTGTGGCAGCTCAGAAGGGCCACTCTGATGTGGTGACGTGCCTACTGGAGGTCAGGGCGACCATGGGGATGCGAGAGCAGACTCCTCCTCCCCTTTGCTTGGCAGCTCAAAAGGGTCATCATGAAGTAGTTCACTGCTTGATCCAGGCAGGGCCCAGACTCAAACACCTATTTCAGGCACTCGGAAGTAAGCCAAGCCTGTTTTATCATGTTTTTTGTCTTAGACCGTCACGTGCCCCATCGGCACGCCGGCACATCTCACCGCTCCTCACGGTGAGGCCCAGTGCAATGTGAATCAAGCCTCCTTTGGAGTTGCACCTCCGATCTACATCGCGGCTGTTGCTGGCCATGCCGACATCGTTGTGGCCTTGCTGGATGCCACCGCACACATCGATGCCTGCGATGCACGGGGCGTGACGGCATTGCATGTGGCGGCACAAAATGGACAGTGTCTTGGAGTTCTGATACCAAAGCCATCCAAAACCATACCAGGCTATCCATGTATGGAATTATTTGAAGCTATTATACACTATTTGCATTATTCATGCATTTGCCCGCTGCATTGGCCCCGTTTTAGCCCCAACGTTCCAGCAGGTACGGTTACAAAGCAAGTCCCTGTTCTTTACGTAAAGTCTTACTGTATTTCAAGTATTTCCCATGGATGCTTTGGCGAGGGGGCTGTGCATTGAGAATTGCAGCCAAGTTCATGAGTCGATGAACATTGGCCATTGAATGGATCCTGATTGGACACCGCCAACAGAAGTTTTTTTTCATTGTTTTTCAGTATGTTTTCATGTCGTTTCATGGTTCTTCAGTGCATTTCCTTCGACCTGGTCTTTCCTCGATGGAGGTTTGCAGTGCTCCAGTGCTTGATCGACGCGGCGGCTGATCTTCACAGGGCCTGTGACCTCGGACTCACCGGACTGTTGCTCGGAGAAGAAATTGCTGTGGGTTCCAAGTGGTTCCTTTTGGAGGGATGCGATTGCCTTTGTGTGGAGAGGGGTTCTTCGGCCTGGCATGAGGTTGCAGACTTCAGTATTACCTCCCATGCGAGCACATGCTAGCACTGATACACTGATGTGGTATGGCCACTCATGGGTTGGGTCTGGTGTTTCGATGTTCTTGGGTCAAAACTACTAGTAGCTTCTTGTTACTAATAGCGACGCACTTGTTACTAATGTCGGCATATGATTAGTAATTGTACCCTGAATAAAGCTAAGCAAATCCCAAAACAGATTTATAAATGCACACTAAATAAATAAGCTAACTGTTTTCACCCTGGTCGTAGATATCCCAAATCCAGCCTTCAAAAGAATGTCTTGTGAAAAGCTCCTGCCTCGAGAGAAAGCAAACCCTTCTTCCCATTGATGAACTCTTCTTCTCAACTAGCTGACCCCCTAAAACTCCAAAACAACTTAAGTATTTTTCTTTTAAACTTCCTTATGAAAAAGCTTTGAGGAAGCCTATGAAAACGATTCAGCAAGGGTACCCCTCATGAATGGCCCAGGTACAAAATAATGGCTGACCCTAAATACAGCTGACGTTTTGTGCTGGCAGAAAGAATGTCCACAATACTAATTGTCCAGTTAATTGTCCTTTTGTCTTAGCTCCAGAATGGGGATTCCTGCTGAGCTGATTAAATGGGCCCTGCTGAGGTGATGGATTCCTTTATTCTAATAGATTCCTTTCCTCTATAGATTCCTTTCTTCAGATCTTCTAGAGGAAAAACCTCTACCAAAACTAAACACTGTTTAAGTCTACTTGAAGTCACTACAAGTGGCTCAGTGACTCTCCGGATCTCCAGGCACTCCGCAGCAGCTGCTGGGCACCTGGAGGTGCTGCGATGCTTGCTGGCAGCGCTGGGGGATGTCAACCGTACCGATTTGCAGGGACAGACGCCTTTGCACTGTGCTGCCGCATCAGGTGCAGCTTCAAGCGTTGGCTTTGGGGGTGACCTGGGGATGCATGGGGAGGACAACCCAAGAGTTTCAAGGATTTGTTTTGGCGGATGGATTGTGCAATGGTATGTTGTGGTGCTTGCCGTGTGCATAGTGTAACAAGCTCTTTGGAATGGTGTAGGGCAAAGAGTTGGAGACGGTTCTGAGCTTTTTCCTCAGGTTTCTCGAAGCAAAATTAACTACTAGGCAGACGAGAGGCCATGACATTAACTTTCTGGCCATGAGCTTCAGGTACCAAGCTTTGCCCAAGGACCCCTTTTAAAAAATGTTGCTTGAAGCAGGGCGAGGCGTTGTCAACCGTGGCCAACCGATAGCAAATGCCTTGCAGGAAGCCAACGTATCATTCAGAGTTTGCTGGACGCTGGCGCCAGCAAGAATCGAACTACCAACACTGGTGCCAGTGCCTGCTGGTTGGCGGCCTCTGAAGGAGACTTGGTTTTGTGGGAAGTCGACCGTTCCAGGAAGGTGTCCGACAAGGAAGGCGTCAGGGAAACATGCACCGCTAAAGGCGGGCCCCCGGACGGCACATAGAAGTTTCACCCGTGTTGTCGCCTGCACTAAGCTTTAAGAGATCGGGATTATGGAGGGCTCCCACTGGGAGAACCTTCTACGGCCGGAGAGATTTCTATGAGGACACAGATTTCTGCGAGGAATTATGGAAGGTTCATCCAGCTAGATGTTCCAATGATCTCACATTGCGCCTTTGACGCAAGGTATCGGGCATAGGCGTCTCATCATGTACGAACCCGAGAGACTAAGTCTGTTTGTTTGGGATGCTCCATCATTACCATTACATACCATTACTAAGGATTTATTCTGAATGAGGTCACATGTTCAATCACCACATATCACCACTACAGTTACAGCTCAGTACAGCATACAGCATATATACAATATACGTAAATATACGTAATATCACGAAAACGATCTCCGAAGGAGGTCAGCTGAAGTTCTAGTTTACTATTAGATAGGTCAAAATCGATGGGATCAATCAAAAAATCACTACAAACGGCCCCTCCCCCCGCCCCCCCCCACTTCGTGTGAAGCGAATCAATAGGGCCTCCCCCCTCACCCCCTCCAAACGGACACGACATCACAAACATCATCCCCATCTAGGGAAGTTTTAAGGTGTTCTCACATTCGTCGTTGTCATCGCTTTCGTTCCACGCCTCTCAAGTATTACTTGGTACATCTCAGTAGTCATGCTGGGCCATGTTTGACCAAGGACATTTTGGTGTTTTACGTCATTTGCTGGCAGCTCGTGCAGACTGCAACATAGCCACAACCGATGGCACCACGTGTTTGCACATTGCGGTTGACAAGGGGCATCTTGAAGCCGTTCAGCCAAGTTAGTGTGGTCGGCTGGGATATCGATGTTTATTGCCTATAGTGGTTGACTGAGAACTTTCCACTTTCAGTCATGGCTCCCTGCAGCATGTTGAAGGGTGTCATGGCTTGAACATGAAGGTTTCATGGTGGGCCGACAGGTCGTCGAGCACCTCCTGCGGGCGGGCGCAGCCAGAGATGCAAGAGCCAATGGTGGCACCCCCTTGGCACTTGCGGTGCGCACGGGACAACAGCAGATGGTAAGCTGCCTTTTGCGGGCAAAAGCGGAGAAACAGAAAGGTGGTTGGAGTCATGGTGGCAGTCTATGCAGCAATCAATTTAGTCCAGCTGCCATTTAGTCTGTCAGACTGTCACCATCCCAAATCCTAAATCAACTCAGCTCCAGAATTCTAAACTCTGATTCCGTTTGCCTTTTTGGGCCTGCACTGGAGGAAAGGAGCGAGCCCGCTGCACATCGCAGCACAGTACGGCCATTGCCGCATTCTCCAGTGTTTGCTTGAGGAGGGAGTTGAGAAGAATCAGCGAATGGAAGACGGTTTGACCGGGCTTCACGTGGCGACACAGCACGGCTACCTTCACGTGGTCCCTTATCACGGCCAGACTTGCTGTTGTGCTTTTTTGTTAGTTTTCTCAGTTATTCTCGTATGTAATTCCACGGCCTACCTGAAAACCTCGCGGACTGCTTGAAGAGTTCGCAGGCTGTGGGAGGTCAATGTTGCCCAGGTGCACCAGCTGTTGCTCTCAGAGGCGGATGTCGATGCAGCTGACCATGGGGGCTCCACCAGCTTGCAATGGGCTGCGCAAGATGGGTCTGCGCAGCTGGTGGTGCCGTGGTCCAACAGGAGGTTCTGGTGACGTGGAAGGTTCCAGAGAATTTGGGAGATCTTGGGCAATCTTGGGTCACCCAGTGGGAACAAGAAGCTGCTAGGGGCTCCTGGCCTTGCTACGAACGGAGCAAATAGCTACGTTCGGAGCAAAGCGCATCGCTACGAACGGAGATCACAATGATCTCATGGGACCTTGGAAACCCACTGTATGTATCGCGCGTTCTTGTTCTTCCTTTGGAGCTGTGCGGGTGGAGCACACAAATAGCGGTTCTTGTTCTGACACTGGAAGGGACTACAGATGGACTCTAAAGTCGGCAGGTTGTTGCATGTAGTGTTGGGAAGCTGCACACTGCACAAATACAACGTAGCTAATGTTGAAAGTCCACTATGAAGCCAAACTTTGCAACACCGAAGCAAGATACAAGACAGCCATCATATGCCCGAGCCCTCCTGCACAAGCAACAAATGTATCGCAAAGTGTTCATGTCTCTTTATGATCCAAAATTCCGAGTTACATAATCTTCCCTGAAGTCTTGAGATGATCGGACTGGGCCGATCGTCAAACATTGCTACACTGTGTTGCCATCAGTCGAAACAAGTTCCACTCCCTTTTGGCTTTACCAGGCTAGGCAGATCTGTGTTCCAGGGAGGCATTTTGAAAGCTTAATGCTTTCAAGTAGTCTTTCAAGTATATCGCAGGATGATGGAAAGAGGAACGTTAGGGTGATAGGGAACGAGAAACATATCATATTTTTTCAGATTATTCATCAGGAACCTAGATCAACCCCGATTCCATCCATTGATCATTGACCAACTGGTGCTCCGCAAGTTGCGAGACATCCATTCACCTACCGAGGCCAGACTGTTGTCTGCGCGAGCCGACACGAACAAAGCCTCCTACGGTGGCCAATGCCCTTTGCATGTGGCAGCTGATGCCGGGCATCTTCAGGTGGTCCGACAGCTTATTGAAGGAAAGGCTAACATCAACAAGGGCTGCACTGCAGGTCGGGGTTGGGACATGTTGGAACATGATCTCACAAACTGTTGTTAGACACAGCGCATGTTCGTGTGGGGATCGCTCAAAAAGAAAAAAGATAAGATTCTGTGGATATCGGAGACATCTACTGTACATTTGGACGTGAAACCAGTTGCGCCTGGAAAGGAACAGTTGCCTTACATGCAGCAGTTGAACGAGGCCACATTGCGGTTTGTCGTTGTTTACTGGAAATGAAGGCCTCACACAGCTTGTCAAGGGCTGATGGGATGATGCCTTTAGCAATTGCAGCGGGCAATGGAAATGTGGAGATGGTGCGATGCCTCCTCTCCGGGAAAGCGCAGCTTGGGGACGGGCTCGCGCTGCACATCGCAACCGATCGGAACCATTTGGCGGTGGTTCGATGTTTGTTGGAAAGCTCCAACTCAAGGAGTGCATTCTTGCACATTTGGTATCAGCGCTGCACACGAGTCCTCCAACACTTGGCTGCTCGATCTTCAGGCCAGGTCAGACACCTTGAAATGTCACCCAAACCTTCAAGGCTTTCACCCAGTTCACCGGTCTCCAAGAAAGAACTGCAGGCCAATTCACCTACGGTGCGGAAGGATTTGGGCTGGAGACTGGCCTCCTTTTTATCATCTTTCGATCTGGTGACACCATACCAATGGCACAGAACTTGCGTTGGCCTATGTTTTCTGTCTAGTTTGGCTTTGGGGGTTGCATGTGTTGGGCCTGATTTGCGGGCGAAATTCAATGGACAATCATCCGGAGATTGACCACTTAAATTAAATGTCATAATTCATGGAATCAATGAACCACCAATGATAATATCGATCTAAAAATGATTAAAAATGAAACTATAAATTAAACATATACCGACGGACTGAAAGTTAGAATGTCCGTTTGGAAATTTGAACTGACTAATTTTGAGTCCACGGGTACACGAAAACGCCACATTCTATCTGAGGCCTTTTTTAAGCGAAGTAAGAATGTGAAAATTCCGTTTCCATTAAACATGGAATGTGCTGTGGTATATGCTTCATTGCTGCCCTTCCGCGCCCTAGAATGCCTGGCCCAAAGCAGAGAACCGTGCATATAAAGTATATTATATATATATAATGTCGGAGAGATTTAAACTCTCTCTATCTCTCTCTATGCAGCTGTATGCAATATTATGTGCGTGTGCGCAATATTGTGTGTGAAGGGGGCTCATCTATAGCCATGGATGGTCCAATCGGCGACCTGAGGGATGCTTTGCTCCGAGCTCCACCGCGAGGTTCAAATCTGTCGGTAGAGTTTTCCCAGGATGTACGAGTACTGTAACCGGTTGGCCAGTAGCTAGCAGTTTCCGCATTCACATTAGCAGTTAGAATGTGTCTCCTTGAAAGGTGTCGAGCATCGGGAAGGAGCAAAGGAGCCTCCTCTACCGCCTGATACTGCATGAAGTGCCAAAGGCTTTGTTTGGAGTTTAAAGCACAACCTATACACATTCTGTAATATATGTGTGACCCGTTCCTTGATTTGCACTGGACTGGCAATACAATGAATTCTTCCGAATTCAAACCATGGCGGAGTTTGAGCTCTTTGACGGGGCCTGTTGTGAGGTGATACAATAACATGGGACAGCGGGGTGGAAAAATGGAGCGATGCTTTAGCACTTGGGGGCATTCTATCTGTGTGTGTTTTTCATCGCTAACTCACTTGTTGCGGACTTAAAGATAGAATGTGTTTTGTTTGTCTATTTTGCTCTACGGACCCCGTCACATTCTAAGTGTATATGGAAATTCATTTGGAAACCAAAACCACATTCTATCTTTTAGTCCGCCGGTATAATATAGTAAACTATCAATCGGGTGAATTTTATTCTAAAAATGTCACGAAGGGTAGCCTGGTAAGGGCTAGCTAGCTTGAGCTTGCTTTGCGAAGCAAAGGGGTTAGCTTGAATAGCCTGCTCGGGACGAATTTTTATAAATCGATACTATTGACCGCCCCCCTCCAATGTAATGAATAATTGATAAATCAATTGTTGTAGAGCTTCGCAGGCCGGCGATGCCGGTTGGGCACGTGTTCGTTATTAGGTGCAGTTTCGGACACTTGCTTTGTATTTCTTGCTTGGTTATTTTGGTTGTTGTTCCTTTCGCATGCGTCGTGCGTGCGCCCCCGAGACCTCGTATCTAACAAGTTCGAGGCGCGCGCGCGCGGAAGCAAAAAGAGCCTTGACAAAATCTTTCAGGCTGGTGGTGGAGATGCCTTTTTAAGTTACCAAAAAGATTCAAAGCATTGTAAAATAAATATATATTGTAAAAATTATCGAGGCTTTAAACGTGACCTAAAGCCAGATTTTGGTGCTTTTACGCCAGGAAACCACGTAAATATCGAGGGTTTTGAGCTATCGAGTGCTTAAAACCACGGTATTTACGAGAATTTCTTCAAAAACGCGATATTTTCAGCATTTCGCGCGCCACGCCCCAAAAAACGTCGATAGGTGCGCAATTGGCTTCAAAACTGTCCCTGTAAGGCACCAATTCAGCTCCTTTCCAGATCCCGAATTTTTTTTGGTCCAATTTGATTGTTTTTTTGGCTTCCCCAAAAAAGGTCTTTCCCCGACCAGGCTCAAGGATGTTGCTACATTTCTCGTCTTGACGTTTTTGGAATCGCTCCAGGGACAAAAACGCCGCGAAATGTACGCGAGAGGGCACATTTTTCAGCTCGATTTCACAAAACACCCTAAGTCCCCGCATAGCTAAAGCTATAGGCGATACCGAATTTAGGAGCTTACGCCTTGAGAGGGGTCGGCGAGCCGCGGGGAGTTCGGAAGACCACAGCACCAGTTGGGGGGCATTTTAGTGTAATTGTCAGAGGTGAAATTCTTTGATTTATTAAGACGAATTATTGCAAACACATTTACCAAGGATATTTTTATTGATTAAAAACGAAATTTAGGGGATCGAAGACGGTTAGATACCGTCCCAATCTTAATTATACACTATGCCAACTAGAGATTGGAGATCGTTATTTGCATTTACATGACTCTTTTAGCACTTTATGAGAAATTAAATCTTTGGGTTCAAGGCTGAAATTTAAAAAATTAATGGAAGGGTACAATCCTAAGACGATTTATAAGGTCTAGACATAGTAAGCATTGATAAATTGATTTTTCTATTCTTGATTTTATGGGTGGGGATGATGGCCGTTTTTAATCGTTGGAATGATTTATTTAATTAATTTCGTTTACGAATGAAATTTTAATCTATTAAATAAATATATCTAATTTTGATTATATGTATAATTTCTTACAGGAAATTTATATGTGTTTCGTAATAATTTGTTTTTGATATGGATTATTTCGATATTTATACATAATTTTTATTTTTATTAAACATATATAATATATTAATGTTAATGATATTTTTTATTAATAATCATTAATTTTATATATATATACATGAAATTTGGTTATTTTATGTTTAGATAGAATTTAATTTGATTTTATTGTTTATATATGTCGTTTCGTGATAAGGGCCGTCTAAATTAAAATTAGAAATTAATTATTTATATATATATTATGAATTACGATTAACGATATTAAAAATATAATTATATATATATAATTTTTTAATATTTTGCGAATTAAAAATAATATAAATACTAATATATTTGACTTTATTATAATATAAATATAAAATCTTGAATATATTTAAATGAATTATTCAAATTTCGAAAATATATATAATCGTTGCAAATATTAATATTTCGAAATTATAAAATTATTAATTATAACATTATTTTTTTTAGAATTTTATATATATATTATATTGATATACTAGGATCGGTCTATTATTTCTAATAACGGAAAAAAATACGAAATCAAGAAATTAATATGTCACATCTTGCTTGGCCATCAATAAAGAACATGGGTCTGGCTTCTATTCATCGTATTAATGATTTTCATGCCCGATTACGACAGCGGCATTCGCTGCCGCCCGATGCTATTGCAAATTTCATCTATGACCTTCAATAAGTTCTTTATTACCTGCAGCAATCTTTGTGGCGGATGGCGATCAAGATATAAATCAATGCCACCAATCGCAAAGCATTACGCCAAGATCGCAAAAAAGCGCGGACAATTCCCCATTATAAATATTCGCCACACTACGCTATAATTTTTCAAGATATGATTGCCAAAGCCGCCATCCACCCAAAATTCGTCAATTCTATCCAATAGCACCTTCATATTAAGGTCCTAATACGAAAATAAATATATAGGCCAAAGTAACCTCAAAATGCAGCAACATAAGACCCACACAATGTAAAAAAAAGAAAGACAAAGACACAAAGCAACAGAGAAACAAAGAGACAAAAAAAACAGAGAGACAAAGAGACGAAAAAACAGAAAAACGGAAAGACAGAAAAACAGAGAGACACAAAGACAAAGAGGCAAACAGACACAGAAAGACAGACAGAGATAGACAAAGAGAGAGACAGAGACAGACAGACAAACAAACAGAGAGAGAAAGAGAGAGAGATAGAAAAAAAATACAAACAGAGAGAGATAGAGAGACAGAGACAGAGACAGAGAGAGAGACAGAGACAGAGACAGAGAGAGAGATAGAGACAGAGAGAGAGAGAGACAGATAGAGACAGAGAGAAAGACAGAGACAGAAACAGAGAGACAGAGACAGAGAGAGAAAGAGAGACAGAGACAGAAAGAGAGGGAAAGAAACAGCGAAACGGACATAGAGATAATAAGCACAGACAACGCGAAAGAAAGAGAGAGAGAGAGAGAGATACGGAAAGCGAGGGCAACCGACACGACATAGAACGGGAGAGAAACAAAGGAAGACCGCGACACAGAGAGAGAAACAGAAAGAGAGAGAGAGAGAGAGAGACAGAGACGGCTCTCCCGAGTTGAGGTGTATCTTACCCACACTCGGGCGGTAAGCCCCCTTCCACATTGAAGGATGCTGCCAGGATGCCCCAAGTCCCGGCCCCCATCGCCTCATGTCTCTTGCCTCTATCTCCTCTACCGTCTGATTTTCTCCTTGTGTTGGGCCGGCACGGAAAGCGAGGGCAACAAACATAGAATAGGAAAGAAACAAAGCAAGACCGCGACACAGAGAGAAAAAGAGAGAGAGACAGATACGGCTCTCCCGAGTTGAGGTGTATCTTACA